ATTTTGTAAGTTTTTGAATATTTTTGTTTGCTTTTTAAAATGTATAGCATGACATAACTGAGCTAGATCATGTAATTTGGCAAGGTACCTGCCCGCGCAAGCGGGCACTAGACCTCTGATCTGTGTTATGCCCTAGGGCAGGGATGGGGAAACTACGGCCCGCGGGCCAACTGTGGCCCGCCGAAAGGTTTTATCCGGCCCGCGGATAGAATTTTAACTTGCCGATCCGTGGCAAATATAGACAATATACATCCATCTTCTTGTCGACTTTGTTTAAAGCTATTTCTGTTCTTTCTTTTTTAACTAAGTACTGATGACCTTTTTACTTTCTCTATTTTTGATCTACAAAACATAAATTGATGGAAATAGTTAGCAAATGGCATTGGAAGTAATGAGGACGGGATATTTGGAGGAGTACGAGGCAGTAACGGCTCGAGATATCTGCATATGCAGTTCAAATCATGACAGACATAACTGAAGAAAGTGGCGAATGATATAAGCCTACGAATTGTATAGAAATAGTGGTGGATAAAAATCTACAAAATTGAATTTATTAAACCAAGAATCACAATTGATAAACTATAACTTTAAAATATATATTTGCTGTCCGGAGCAAGTTGGCATCTCTGTCTACTCCTTATAAAAAGTTGCCAGTTGGAATTCATATCATAAGTGGAATTTTTGATAAGTAGTAGCAGACGAGAGACATAAAATAAAAAATACTAAACAAAAAATATCTTAAATTTCGTCACCACTAGAAAATATTTTTTTACAAAGCCGAACAAATTTGCTTTTTTGTCATTAATTTAAACTTCAGACTATGTGCAATAGTTGCATTTCTTGATTGATTTGATTTATAAGTAGATTATGAAAAATGAAGGCCGTACAAGTTAAGAACATCTAAAAAAATATTCCGTCCTCTACAGAAAATTTCAAAGTTCAGGGTCATTTCTTTCAAAGTGAAAGAAAAGTATGTTTTATACAAAGAATACAAAGATTTATACAAAGAAGATATAACAACTCAAATTTTGTTTTGCAGTTTTATGTACTCGTTTCCATGGAGCATTGTTGCTTTTAGAGTTATGCTCTGTACTGAATTTTTCAAAATTAGTGAAAAATACAGTTTTAGACGTTTTTTTGCCCAAAATTTCTTTGTTAGACAACATCACCTCGATAATTTCTTTACTGAATATTAAAGTTCACAGTTCAATTGATTGATTTTAATTGATATAACCATACAAACTTTAAAAAGAAAAGAAAAATATGAATTTTTTCATTTAGCTTATCGCAAAACGGCATCGTTACTCAAACAATTGAACTATACCATCTAATAAGTAAATGAATCTGCCAACACGTGGAAAAGAAAAATCAATGGGATCTCGTCTCATTTTCAAGAAAAAACTACTAAAAATGCATAAAGCTATGTTAAAAATCACACCCATCCTCTTATTTCAGAAGTTTTGACTCATCTTCCCCTAAATATAAGCTAAAATAAAGAGATTTTGCAAAAACTTGTGGTGTAACTACCACTATAAATTTTAAGTATCAATTTCCTATTATATAATGCATATCAACTTACATCAATTATGAGGCAGGTTAAACCAGCCAGTGCAGGAACTTTTCATGTATATTGATTAAAATTAAATAGTATTAAGTTTTTCTTTAAATTGATTGCAACAATAGGTTACTGGCAAACAATAGGAAGATATCTAGCAAAACTTTGGAAAACCTGGTCAAACAGACTTCTCTAGAAAAATTTTCTGAATTTGTTATTATCTCTGCAACACCTTGTTTCTTTTAAAAAATTATAAGGTGAATGTTTGTATTTATATGTTTGAAGTGGAATTAATTGCATGTAATAGTTTTATTTTTCTCACTGTGAAAAAGAGAATTCAAAATATAGGTATTGAAGTTACGTTTTATTTTTTTTAAGCATATCATAATAAAGTACTGAGATAAGGGAGTGTTTATTCACTGGATCACCAAACGATGAAAAACCAGTGAAGGAACAAGTGTTCCTTGACTGGTTTTTTTTTTCTAAGTTAATGAAAATAAAAGATAAACTTTAATTTTCTTGTACTTTTAGTGATGTTCCGCATCAAAAGTACGTTAAAAATACGAAAAACAACTTCTAACCAGTGAGGGAACAGGCATGTTCCTTTACTGGGCACAGATTTTCCAGTGAATGAACAATATGTGTTAATATGTTGACACTTTAATTTTCAATTCAGGATTGCAAAAAAAAGTTAACATTACGAATTTGAAATTAATTTGATTTTTCAAAAGACAAGCGAAGCTTAAGTGTTCCTTCACTGGTTAGTTTACCCTACCTTTTACTAGAAAAAGGTTGACATAGTCGATAAGTAAATTTGATTCTATCTTGAGGTACCTTTTGATAGATGAAGGTTGATATAGTCGATAATTAAATCGTTACAAACTCTACCTGTAATTTTAAGAATAATTATAAAAGAAGAAACCTCGAAGTCATAAAAAAAGGATGGTTTTCTTAGTAATGTATTTGTATAAAGAACTGCTAGAAATGAACAATAACTCTGTTATGTATTGCTTATAATTTACTCATTTCTTCGTTTGACTTACTTCAAAATCAAATTTAGGGAGTTTGAAAAAAAAAACCGATATTTAATGGAGAAGGATGTTTCCCCCCCCCCCACAAGATTTCTTGACTCTTGTTCCAATAATCATCTTCTATTTGTATTAAAGTCTCTGCCACTGTTTCTCGAAATTTAAATACGACAAGCGGGAATTCATTTAGCTGTCTCGGAAATCTAACAATCATTCTTGCAAGAAAGTCTTAGCCTTTTAAAAATATTCGCATAAAATGTATTTATTTAATTTTTCAGAGGTTACATGCAATATCATTATCCATACATTTATATACATAATATCAGATTAGCTAGCAAGAAAGTTATGCGGCATGTAAAAGATCTCTGGAGTGCCTTATTGGCTCTTGGCATTTCCGGCAAAATTAAATTCGTAGTGCACTTGAGCATCCTAATAGAAACCAGACGGCAGAAACTAGACGTCCAAAATTAACATGACCAACGGTATTTCACCCATTGTGGTGGTCCTGAAAGAGTGGATACCACCTCTGGAAAACGCACTAGGTCTGCTCATCGACAAGACTGATTGTGCAGCTCATTGAAAATGTAAAAAATAAAAATAAAATTTTTTTTAAAAAAAATTAAACAAAAAAAAAGCATGCAAGAAAGTAAGTAATGAATCAAGTAATTCAATCAAGTAAATATCATAGCTTGCATATCTGAGATTTACTTGAAAGAAGTTATATCCTTTCACACTGTTCATGAAGTTTGCGATGTTCAATAAAAGAAAACATAACGCTTTTAGATATTTATGGAAAGGGGCGTTAATTTTTTTTCTTAAGCACAAAATTATCCATGAAATAAATGCTGATCTTGGAGAAAAGACTGGCTACAAAAACAGTGACTTGGAGGTAAAATGCATGAGCAGACGAACGCCTTGCTGTTTTCCTTCCATTATTATAAATCTTAAAGTCTTATAAAATCTTTTAATTTTAGCTTATTTAGAATAGAAATATTCATCATTACAATAGAGTAAAATATATCAAGTGTGTCACCCGGGTTCGAATTCTAGTGATGGCTGGTAGATATGAATTCCGCACCCGGCTCGGATCGACCACAGTGCTGACATAAAATATTCTCAGTGGTAGATGGATCATGGGTTAGAGTCCCCTTGAAGTTAGGCTAACTGTGGAAGGTTTTCGTGGTTTTCTCTCTCCATGTAGCGCGATTTCTGGTTAGTTCCATCAAATAGCCCTTTACGAAGGCAAAACTTCACCCAATACTTGATCCAGGAGTTCCCTTGTCTTCTGGATTAGGTTCAAAATGACAAGGCTACGGAGTTGAACATTGGTAGTCGTAAAACCGAAAAATGGGTCAGCTGTTCCACGACGGTTATTAAATAAAATAAAATAAAATAAAATAATGACTCATAGAAACGAGTGCATGCCCATAACTAGGCAACGATATACTAATGATATAGCAAAAGAAATCTTTGGAGTGTCGTTGCTTTTTTTCGATAAACCCCTTATTTTTCTTTCACTTTTAAAGAAATGACCTGGAATCTTGAAACTTTTTTCAGGTCCGTACATTTTCAGGAGCCTAGTTTCTACTTCAATATCAAAAAAATAGCAAGCCAATCAAAATATGCAGCTATCAAAATTTCAGTTTCTTTTCTAATTTTCTACTTAATGGCTCTCATTGGCCCTTTGTCTCGTTAATATAATTTATAGTTATTTTTTACCACACTGCATGTAAATGATTCAAAGACTTATATCGTATTTTTACGAATACGTTTAATTTATTATTTCAAAAACGTATTTTTGAGTGACCCGCTTGCAATGTGCTCATAATTATTTATTATATTTTATTTAATAATAACCCAAAAAATGCTGAGAGTTTACATCATTTTAAAGAATGCAATTAAGCATACCAAAGTACAAAATTTGAGCGAATTCGATTTAATGGGGTTGAGAATTTTAAAAAGATCGTATATTTAAACATTTCTCTATTCTTCTCAAAATAAAATAGGCTAGTCAATGATATACGATTTTCCCACTTTTTTTTTAAAAAAAACTGACGCATTTAATAACTTCTTTTTTACACGATAAATGTTTCACCTTAATAGTTATGAACAATCGATATTCTACTTTTTAAAGTTATACAACAAAACCATAATATTAAAATTATTCTTTTTATTTCTTTTCGTAAAAAAATTGCTTTATATACTTTTATTTTAAACTTTAAAATATATTTTAAATTTTTTTTTTTTTTTTTCATTTTTAAATATGCTCGATCTTTTTTCAGGACACTGAGAAATGTTTTATGCTCCATTCCATTTTTTCGAGAAACGCAATTTGATTTGAAGAAATAAGCTTAAGTAAATGGAATAGTAGCTATTGGTAATGTTAAAACTTACTGAAGCACATATAGAGAAGGGAAAGAGTTCGGATGTTTATTTAATTTTTGATGTCAGAAAACATGCATGAATATTGACACTGAATTATAACAATAATGATAAAAATATTTTCATATAAACAAACATCTATTACGAATTTTACCGTTGCTAACAGTTTCATTTTTCTTTTTTCTCCTTCGTCCGTTGCCATTGTTTCCAGATCTCTTAAAAATTGCTGACCAGGTGGCGTTGTGATGTCCAAGTATCTGGTCAAAGCTGTTCTCATGGTCAAAGCTGGTATTCTTTCATGTGGATACCATCTATGGTTCAGACCTTTGCAAGAAAAAAAAGTGGAAAAAATACGTCTTTTTAAACATCAAAATATTCGTATATGTTCGTATATGTATTCGTAATATTCGTCTTAAAATATTCGTAAATAAAATGCGAACAAAGTTATTAGTTTTTTTTTCTCCAGTGCCCCCTCGGAGAATGACCTAGGACAGTGTTTCCCAAACTTATGACTTTTGTGTACCCTTTCTAAATTTTTCGTAACACTCTGTACCACTAATGAAGAAAAGGAATGTATTTTTTACTGTAAAAAATTTCTCAAAAGTTAAAAATCACTACTAGCTGTTGACACCACTAATTATTAACTGTTAACTCTGGAAAAAATAGCAAATAGAAAAATACGTAATTGTAAATTTTCATGACTAGCTTTGCTTTTGAACAAAATTTTTTGAAATTTTCGTTTGTTGCAAGATATTTCGCGTAAGAACGTGTACCCCCGTTAAACTGTTCCCGTACCCCTGAGGGTACGCGTACCACACTTTGGGAAACACTGACCTAGGACATACAGGTATCTGAAGGGCAGATTTGTAGGCCACTCTTTCAGGGGCATCATATTAGGTGGGACAACGTTTCTCCCACAGTAAGGACAGATAGCACAGAGAAGGAAAGAACATCCATGCCTTGCCCGGGATTCGAACCCAGAACCTTTCCGATGCAAGGGCAGTTCCCTACCCTCTACACTGGCCGGTCGGCACTATATTATACGTAAATGAATGGATATCATTCATAATAAATGACTAAGCTATTGCTATTTTACATATAAATTGGTGGACAAGGACAGCTGTAACGCTGGGCAAATTTTCGTGAGATCGTGAGTTCGAATCCTACTGGCCGAAGAATCTCCGCGCATTAAATGGTGACTGCTGCACGCTAAATCTCTCTAGGTCACACCAAGTTCCCATAACAAATCGATTCTTCTGGGGGCACTGAATAGGAGATTGATCGATCTCTGGTTCTTGTCAAAATTAAGATCTGTGGATGAATGAATGGAGTATGAATGGGCTCTCTCTGTAAACCGGTCAGTGACGTGTGCGTGATAGTCGTATTCTTGGTTCTAGATGGCGCCACTGAAAAACAAGAAACGCACCCCCTACCTTAATCGCTTGGATTCCCGCAGCGGATGTGCTAGTAGCGGTAAATGCCATTAGTAACAACAACAACATATAAAAATTTGTTTTGTTACTTTTTTGTGCACTAATAGATTTATAGGACTGATATGAATTGAAATGGAAATTAACACGTTGTACGCCATGCTAATTTTACATGACTTGCCCATCTGGCCAGGGTAAATAACTACAAATTAAATTTGCAAATATTAGACGGATTTTGCTATTTTTTTAGAAGGTTTACCATGACATATGCTTTTTCTTTTCTTTATTTAAAACAAATTGGGTGCCTGGGCCGCGCAGCGACCCCTAACCCATACATCATGAAAATAATAAATATTGTATAAAAATATTTTGTATTGTGCATCATTATGGTAGCAGTGACATATCTGACAAAAAATGGTGAATTATATAAGCCTACGAATTGTTTAAAAATAGTGGTGGATAAAAATCTACTAAATTGATTTTATTAAATCAAGAATCACAATAATTAAGTAAATTTTGAATAAATTTTCTGCAATTCCATAAAAGAGTGTAAATTTTATAGTTCTATATCATGTTATATGCTGTCAGCCAGCTGTTTTTCGAGGCCTATGTGAAAGGTCAGTGTCAGCAAGCGGTGGCAGACGCAGCCTAAATGTAATTTCAGTGTCAGCCACCGGTGGTTGACGCGGACTAAATGTAACTTCAGTGTCAGCCACCGGTGGCTGACGCGGCCTAAATGGAAAGTCCAGTGTCAGCTACCGCTGGCTGACGCTGCTCTCAACGTGTTAATAGGGAAAGTGATAGAATGTGCTTGATAAAATTTAAGGATGGAACGTGCGCGTTAAAAAAAAGGATAGAAATTTTTTCAATTTTGTTGATTTTAATCCACCACTATTTCTATACAATTCACCACTTTCAGAGATGCCAACTGCTCCGGAGAAGCCAAAATAATTAGTAATACGGTAGATAACTACAAAATAATTTTTACAAATATATGACTATTTTTGCTTACTTTTTAAAACGTATCGCGAGTCACAAGTTCTATAAAGTGGTGAATGATATAAGCCCACGAATCATTTAGAAATAGTGGTGGATAAAAATCTACTAAATTGAATTTATTAAACCAAGAATCACAATTGATAAACTACCACTTTAAAATATATATTTGCTGTCCGGAGCAAGTTGGCATCTCTGCTCTTTACAGTACTTACGTTATTTCTTAGTCTAATATCAGGATGAAGGGGAAAAGGGCAGCAAAGCCTCAGACGCACATTTCCACTATAACGAACGAGTACTGATGTCATGCTATACCTTTCAAAAAGCAAGCAAAAATAGTCAAATATTTGCAAAAATTACTTTGTAGTTATTTACCGTTTTTTTTAATTATTTTGGCGTGTCCGGAGTAGTTATAATTATCCTTATTCTACAAGTTACTAAAACTTTTATAGAAAGCGTTGCAATTAGCCTCCCACTAATGGCTCTTAAAACCCACTACCACTCGAGAAATTATCCCGTAAAAAGTTTGCGCTCCTGATTATTTCTTCATGCCAAACATTACGTTAGCAGTCGTTGAAGCAAGCCGATCATCAAATTAACTTTGATAATTTACGCCAGCAATTGTGAATTATATAAAATATTTTTTAAAAATAAAAATGGTAGTAAAAGTTCTTAAATACGATAGTTTTTATATAAGTAGGATAGTCGCATTCCAAAAAAATATGAAAACTTGTAGAGAGAAGGAGGAAACGAAACCGTTTAAGCTATTGGAGGGTCCAGAAAATTCACCGTAATTCACCACTTTATACTCGTAAAATTTACTTACTGGTTATTTACGGTTTTTTAATGTTATTTTGGCGTGTCCGGAGGCATGTAAACAATCCTTACACACATAGTAACCCCAAGAGAATTTGAGCGCGCTGATTGGCTTTCTCGGCATTGCCTTTTGTTACATCTTTTTGTAGCTCCTCCCCAATATCATTTCTCCGTAGTTTGTTCCCAAAATGTAAATCAATAATAAATCAGTTCCAGTATATTTCTCATACTAATTTCAAACTAGATGTTTAAGTTTTGCTCAAAAAATTAAATTGCGTCATTAATTGTATTTTAAGAATAACATATTTATTTATATCTAATTTGCTTTAAATTTTACTAGAATATTTTTCTTTATTTGTTTAAAATATTTTTTGTACGTTTCAATATAATATTTTTTGATATTACTTGCTATGAATTTAAGGTAAATGCAAGGTAAACGATCAAGTTTTGGTAAAACATCAAATTAGTATATT